TTACTTCTGATAATTTTAAATAAACCGATCCAAATCGTTTAATCGGTTAATTATTAATTCCACCAGTAGCTAGAGAGCTGTATTTCAGAGACCAGAACCTCGTTTCTAATGTATTGTATTATATAAAAATCGATTATCGTGAAGCTCTATCCTGATACCATTCACGCTGATGGTATTTAAAAAATTCTCAGTATCCTAAAATAGCAACTGTGACCACATGCTGCTGGATGAAAGCATGTCGTCGAGAGGAAAGAGGAAATGAGAGCGATGATGGCTTTTGGTTGGCTTCTTGCCCGCCTGACCTCTATTTTTCTGCTCACATGTCATGTTTTGTCATGGCCAATAAGTAGCTCATAGTAAATGATGGATGGACTAAGGAAGAAAATCAGTCACAATAGTGGGTAAAAACACAAAAATGTTTCATAAATTTTAATCTACTACCTGGTAAACTCGTATTAATTATCCTAAATGTAGAAAAATGTGAAAAGTTTCTGTTGAAAAAGTAATCGATTAGGCTAACACTGAAAGGTAAACTTCTGGTCAAGCCTACCTACCGCTTTGTTTTAAAGTGTCCTCCAAAATAGGGAAAATACACGATATGAACGTCTCATTAAAAGTTAAATGTAACAGTAGCTTGTATTTCTAGGCATCAAGACTGCTCAGCGGAAGAAAGTTCACCAGCAGGAGATGTGTGTAAGAGAAATTAGAACAGAACCCTAACCTATTTTCATTATTTGAGAGAATTACGTTCGTGTTATTAACTCATAACATACATTTTCACAATATTTATTCAACTGCTTCAACGTCCAGTGACTCGGAATGTTACCAAAATGGTCCATGGTGTGTTTAATTCGCTTTTTGTAATAAATAAACATCATTAACAGACTAAATCAGGTATAGACAAACTTTAAACAGCCTCTGGCCGATCTACGTTTATCATCATGGCTACGGGCGATGCTATTGCATTAACAGGTTATTACCAGTAGTTAAAAAAACGGATTCCAATATCCAGGCTAGTGTTATTAATTACTAAAAAAGCTAAAAATTTCGATGCCTCAAAACAAATTTGATTATAAAGTTTTTAAATATTAGAGTTTACAATTATTTGAAAGTGCGGATTCATATCACATCTAAAATATTTGGGCGAAAACTACCACTGACATGAGAAGAAACGGTCATACCAAACATTGTGTGACACTGGCGATACTATGTCTAATGTGACACCTGGACTTATGTGTTTCTCACCAAAATGTCTATGCTGTGTGTAATGCTAGACGTTTGTCATCTCATCATCTTTTTTTTTTCAAATTCAAATCTGTCAATCGACGTTGAGTTTTCGACTTAGTGAAGTTCAATCTTGAAAATAACTGATTACTCTTGTTATAGGTGCTACCAAAGATAGAAACGTCGTTTCTATTAAATTCCACGAATTACAATACGTCATCTTTGGGCAGGCATATGTAAAAGTCTAGTACAGAAAATTATTGTGAATTGTGTTTTAATGTGTCTGAGCTAGTATGTGGGGGGGGGGGGGGACTGAAATTAAAATGGTACTCAACTACTATGAGCAAAGCTAAATTGAAATGATTCTGTAAATTAATATGGAGAAAAGTACAACTAAAATTGTATTGAACTCACGTGGTTGAAAGTGAAATTAAAATTACACCAAACTGCAGAAGGGGGAAGTGAAATTAAAACGGGTTGTTGTGGGGGTGGGGAATTTAACACGCTTCTTTTTACAGAATTGCCTCTCTCTGCGTACACAATGTTAGGTCGGAAAGACTCTGGAGTTTACAGGACCCTACATCATTTCAGCCTCTCTAAATTACAATTAATTCTTTGAATACCTTCGCCTTAAAACATTTAACCTGTTTTAGTTACTCGCTAAGGGTATCTTTAGAATTTTAGGCGCACTTGTTTATCATATCTCAAATACCCCATGACAATAATCCACTTATAATTATAACACGAAATATGTCATACAACATAATAAAATGCGTGATGTAATTCTGAAGTATAAGGAGATACATTATATAGGATTTCTACAAATAAACGGAATTTACATAAACGATCACATAAACAACTGTACAGAGCAGTTAATAAGGTCGCACTTTTCAGACGTAAGCCTGTACTCAAAACATATGAATTAATGTGGTCCAAGCTAAAACTGACATTGCCCCGTATATGAGGTGAAAGTCACAGCTTGAAATTATATTTAAAATTTACACTAAATTTAAAAAAAAAACATTTTGAGGGTCTTTCCGCATGACCTAAGGTGCAGCTACAGCCGAAGAACTTGTTCCACTGGGTCAAGTCCTGCTTGTACCTGCGTTTTCGTTTTCCTGTGTTGTTAGTATACGTTGGATCGATCCGCAAATCTGACTAATGTCCGTAAGATTCGCAGAATCACAATTCTCAGTCGAAACAAGTCACAGGGTCTAATGCTTGAATTTAATAACAGAATAATTTAAAAAATATATTTATAAATACCGCACATTTCGATATACAATTCAATCGATATATCGTTCTACGTCTAATGTATTTCTATATTTACAGTTAATTCACAATTTCCATGTCGTCAGATCATAATTCAAGACTGAGTTGACGGAATCAATTAAACGCACTTGCTGCAACTTGGCAAAGGTCTTCAGTGTCTTTATAAGAAATCACGGGTCCAGACACAAAATACTGAATGTTGTTCGAATTTACTTATTCGTATTTCTCAAATAGAAAATGTATTCTTATGGACATACTTTAGATACACAATTAGATGTAAAAGTAGAAGGTCATATTTCGTATTATGTGTACGCATCTTTTTGGGACACTGCATGACAAGCCTGATCCTTCCTCAGGTATTCGTATATAATTACACTGCCAGACTTATATAAACTTTGATTTTTATATCAGTTCAATGATTGGGATCAAACTCGGGAACTTCATATTAGAAAGGTAGTAAGCTAAGCACTTTAAGTGTGTCTGAAATTGTGCTTCGTATTCCTCTAATTATGTTTCACATTTGGCTATTTGACCCTCTTATGCCTAGTGGTAACATTATACATGTTTAACTTACTTTAAAAATTAATAAATCTGCATTTTTATTTCTGGTGTTCTGACGTAGACCGACTCTTTCAATTTCCATGTCATCCTGTTCACTCTTTTGCATGTGATTTCTGTTTTATTCCATTGCATTACTGTAGTCGTCATCCTAGCAACACGGCTTCACGCTTGGACACTTCTTCCATTTTTGTGTTGCGTTTATGTTCAATGATGTTAGCAGTCCTCTCCCTCTTCGGTGTAGGTTTAATAGCGTTGTACCTGATCAAAACACTGTTCATATATCGAATTTATACTGAAATCTCCTGAGTTATACAAAAAAGATTCTTCTCTAGAGTCCATTAAAGTAGTTGTTAGTGTGCCAGCATATTATTCGAAAGGTCTCGGTATCCAACCTGACCGTTATCAAAAATATCAAAGGATAATTGGCAAGAAATCTATAAGTATAATGAGAATAAATTACCTGAATACAGGAGTAAGTAGTATAGGCATAACTATGGATAATAACAAACATAGCATTCTCATAATGAATCAGCCACTGTCACAGACCTTCAGAGAATAACCAGATCTAAAGATATAAGCGTAAGATATTATGCTCCTAATTTTTTTTAAAGTAGTTAAGTTCTAAATTCTGGTTAAATATCCCCACAGGGTTTTCACTAGTCTCAGGTATAAAGCGTAACTGCTTTTGTTGAAAAGCTTTAGAAGTAACAATCCACGTCACAAGCAATATTTATCGGACATTTTGCTCCAAACTCCAAAATACGCGTAGCCATATAACTGCTGGAGTAGGCTACCCAAGATAACATGTAATTCAGTTACCCTTCTATGGTTACCGAACCCCTTCTGGGACTCACCGAAAATGAATGCGTCTTAGCGGATTTATACATTAAAATACATATAAAATATATATATAAAATATATATAAAAAGTAGCTTAATTCTGACATGTTTTTAACCTGTTATAATTGCACAATTTAAATGTTTAGTCATACTATTCCGTCTTTCTTAATGAGATAACATACAGTTCAAGTGACATTTCGGGTTCTCAAAGCGGCGAACATGACGAACTCTGTCTTCTAGGAAACTACAATGTGTAGTCTGGTAGAAATATACCTACGTTTAAGAGGTGTTCACTGACTCCATCATCAGAATTTTTGACAAGTCGGTACAAATGAGATGATTGTCATCTTGTTAAGTGTTTTGCTGTATGGTGACGAGTAAGTTAAAGTCAGAGCCAGGAAAGAAACATGGATACACCGGGAAGTAAATGTAATATATCTACCGAAATTAAGTATGTAATTACGTACAGTTTGTTCTGAATAATTTCCAGTAAGGAACGTTGTTACCGTCCTGAATAGACCATTTGAAATGAAATGGAGGATTATTTATAATGGATCTTCATATTTTAAATGTTTGTTCCTTTTCCCTATCCTTTTTATTTTGCCTGTATCACCGTTAGAATAAATCCTCAAACTTCCTAATGGTAGCGGCACTTGTTAAATATAACTTCCTACTTCCAGCAGCATTACTAGCATTTGGTCAGTCATTCAAAATATATTCGTACTCGTATACAGCAAACATTACTTATATAGAATTCATACCTGGAGGACATGTTCAATTGTATTAAGTTACATTCAGCTTTCTTTGTTAGTGATGAAAGGAGCACAAACTATCGACATCATTCGGCAACTAACAAAGGATATCAGAATTTACATGGAAGTTGCACGCTTAGCTGGACGTTGAAGGCTACACAATAAAGCACTTATCAGCACCTACTTATGTGGCGTAATATTGTAAACAAACTCGGAAGTTATCTATAATAAAAAGCTACACTTTCTCACATTAGTACAGATATTTTTACAAGAACAGAAATTTGTACAACTTTGAAATTATGCCACGATGATGGAGGACATTTATAATGGTTTTTGTAAAGACGAAACTTACCTCCGTTTGTCGTAACTTTGTCTTGCCTCAGCTGTGCTTCAAGTTACAGTTCCAATCTAAGCACAAAAGCACAATGCCTGACTGCTTGTATTCGTTCACTTCTCTTCACATTTCCTTTTCTTTTTCAATCTCTCTCTTTAGCCACTCTCACTTCCATTGACATAACACCAGGTGAGACAGCATGTCGCGGAATTAATGTTGCACTGTTCGTATCACAACACCTAACTGACATTAATGTAGGATACGCGTATTACATTGAAAGATTCATGAAAAACTTAGTCAAAACTATTTCATATTTCACACATACATATGGGCGCAGTTCGTCATTAAATCTCAGATTCGCTTATAATTAAGCAAGTTTTACGTTTAATTTATTCACAAATATTCCTGACAAAAGTTTATATTCCTAAAAAATTTAATTCCAATATTATGTAAGCAATGCAGCACAACCTAATTATGCCTCACAAAGGGTAATCGATTCTTTTCTTGCTTAACGTCGGTGTTTGAACTCTCAAAGAATGCAACATCCAATGAGATTCATATGTTATAAAAATGACTATGTAAAAGACACTAGAAATTGTCGTTTCTTACGTCAATGTAATACATTGCAGCACGTATGGAGGGTCTAAGTGCAACCCACAAAGACCTATGCCAGATGGATGACAAAAATTGCAAGATTTGATAAAGATATTTTGAAAATACAAGTCCTGACCATTACAACAGCACTAGCCTCTTTGATTCTTAGTGTTAGTTCCATCTTATAAACAGAAAAAAGTCCTGTAACTTGGACTAGAATACAGCAAAGCATCACAGGAAAATAAATAATCATTCGAAATAGTTACTATATACTAAATAAATAATTATGTATTTTTACAAATATTTACTAGAAGTAGGCATTTTTATTTTAGTTTATGCACTAATTGTAGCACGACGCTACAGTTTATCATACAGAAGGCAATTTTACCTACCTAAATTAATTATAAATACAATTTTCAGTTTTCCAAAGGAAAAACATTTTTATCGAAACAACGGATCTGAAATAATGTTTGTTAACATACGTATATGTGTTCATTCAAATTCCCTTCTATTCTTATGGAAAGTTATTTTTGTGCCATCCGTTGTCAATGGTACTTATTCCAAACATTTTAACAAGTGGACAACACACTCTGAGTTATCGGTCTATTTCGATTCAGTTACATAAATTAACAATGTATACCTTTAAATCGCAATATCATGGAAACGCTTAACAAATCGAACATCGGGGATAAGTGGCCGAAACTTCTGTTTCGCATAAGAGAGGTTCCGGTTTCAAACCTTAACGCGACCGACAGAGAATTTTCGTTGTTTTTCGATACCTCCGGGCAAATACCGTCATGCCATCTTAAATAAGATAATGACCGCTTTCATCCATTTATTTCTCAACTTATCATCCATTAACTACCCTTCCATTTAACAAAATATAATTAGATACTCATAGAGTCATTAAACAAAACATTACTAAATAAATGTTGTACCTTTGTATGAGTTTCTATATGCTAAGTGAAGTGTAACCTAAGAACAACGCAATTTATCCAGACTTCCCGCTTGGAGTCTCTCTACGTTCCGTCGACATGCATGTCGACAAAATGTGATCGCTATTGAGCGTCGAATGTTACTGTGAGTAGCCAGTATCGGTCCCTAACGAAAACTGTTGGAAACCTACAGTGAACTAGACTGAATAACAAAGATTGGGTAACGACACGGCCGGTATTTGTGAGAAAGAAAATGATCACAGATAATAATTGGACATTTTGTCGGATATCCTAGAGACGGAAAGATGCATGAGATAACACATCGGGGTTTAAATTTGTAACAGAGAATTCTATATTATTATTGCAAGTGTAAAATATTATAACAAGTAATTTTCATCGGAAAAAACACTTTTTGCGACGTAAGCGAACATAATATCTCTTTCAAAGAGTGTCTTAATACGTTCATTATCTCCAGCTATTTACTGACGAGTAAACTGAATCAATGTAGCAGAATAGTCCTGAGTTTGTAACCACAAAGTTACTGATGATATTCGTTGCCTTTAAGTCCATTGCCATGTTTATAAGTTCCGGTCTCTGGTCCTTGATCTAAGTATTATAAATCCAATCAACGTTTCTAAACCATTTTCGCCGAAAAAAAAATGTTAATATTATGCTTCCGCATGGGTCAGTCTCATTCAAGCAGTCTCTAACCTGTAAATTATAAAAATCTTAAAAATTCGTATACTTTTTAAAATCAACAATTTGCTCTACAGGGCTCATAAAACTTGTCAAACAAGTTAAACACTTTACTACCTGGTACAAGATTCCAACCAATTATGCTGCTCCTAACACAAAATATTCGACAGTGTCCTCCCTTCGTCATCTGATGTTGTCAAGTAAACATACTACGAGCGGTGACCAATTCAGCTACAGTCAGATAAAGCAAGAGGCATACTATAAATCAGTAGTATTCAACCTATTTTGTTCGCGTACCCCCAGATATAATTTCTCTTCAACTTTATACCCCCAAAGTTGTTGGTGTATAATTTGAGTTATACATAGTATATAATTTACATCTAAAATTAATTAAATAAATTACATTACTGATTATTCAGTGTTTATCATAATTTTTTTTAAAATTTTACGTACCCCATAAGATGTCTTCGCGTACCCCAGGTTGAATACCACTGCTATAAATATCCTACGCAGTTATAATTCACCTGCCGTCCACGAGAGGACTATAGCTTTGTTGACCGGAGCAGCGTTATGGCGTGTAAGAAGGACACATAGTAGCTGTCTCGATTGTCACCAGTCCAAATGCTACATTTCACAGCACTTTAGAATATTATTTTACACCACTGTTTATTATACATCATGCTGATCAGGTGATATGTAGTTTCATAAATTGTCCACACTGCCTTTAAAATATCAAACGCACTACGTTAGAGAATATTCAAACATATGTTAGCAGAACTTTCAGTGTTCTGAGAAACTGTACATTGCGCTGAATATAAGGATTATTGTGTGTTACTATATGTAACGTAAAACAAGCACCTCTTAACTTTGAAATACGTTCGGACTTAATTTAAGGTTCCTGTCCGCAACGTACACAATTTTAACGTAACTAAGCTGTCATAATAATATTCGTAAGCTACCAATTGTGTAATTAAAAGAGCTTGCGGTCTCTGACAGTGTTCGCTGTAAGACAGTTTTTCTAAAAGAAATAATCTCTCTCCAGTGACAAACAATGTCGACGAATTCTTTGAAGCCATTCAAGATGGCAAGAAGTCGCGTTTGCAATCTGTTTCTACCCGCGAATTAGCTTCCATGTTCCACGTTCCTTGTAGCTTGTAAACATACACATATCGTACTATCAGAACGTTATTTTATCAAATGTGCTTTGTACTGATTTCGTTATGGAACGATAATACACTGAAGGAAACACTCCGTCAAGCCAACACCGAACAACACAGCGTACTACAGCCTCAGTTTGTGTTACATTTCCTTCCCGGTAGGGACCGCCATTTGAAACATGCACAAACATGAGAACATCGTTATTTCATAGAGTGTGTGTGTGTGCGTTGTCAAAAGGCTTATGTTTTATGTTGGTGACTCCAACTAAGGCGTTACAGTCTGTTCATTTTAATTTCAGCTTGTACTTACTTCCAGATGTTGCAGATTCGGAACGTTTCCTCTTATGTGGACAGCATTTTTTATGGTAGGAATAATTAAGGTCAGCATGCTTGCTATGAGAGATACAAGATTTTCGTTATTGTACTTTCCACATTTGGTTTGATAATAAAAATTGTTTTAATGTTCAAAGACATTTAAAAAATAAAATGAATCCTGTATTTATTTGTTTCGGTGGGAACACAAATTCTTCAATAAGAAAAGTTTCAAATCATGTTTTAATTTTTGCTGACAGTCAACTTAAATTATTTACTCGTTTATATTTCTTCAACATAATGCTTCAAATTGCTGGCGCCATTTCCAAGGAAACTACAAGGTTATTTTATGCTGACAGATGAATGCGCCATTGAATATTCTCTGTAGCAGTGGTTCATTGCTCAGAATTTTCTGTCATGCGTACACTATTGTACTTAAAAATATTCACAGGAAGAGCACTATTTACACAATTATAAAAATAAATAAAAAATATTATCTGGTCCTCCTTGATAGTATCATTAACTCCATAAAATCTTGATCCCTTGAAGATGCAGCTTACAAATACACGGTAACAGTGTTCATAAACATGATTGACATTATCACTAAAACGCCATGAAATTCTGAAGCCTTCTTTAATAATATTACCTATTATTTTAAACACATATAAGTCAGAAGCCTGTAAAGTTATTCAATTTAAGTGTAAAAGCAAAATGTCTGTAATATTCGTAATAGTTATGATAATACATGGATCTCGTAAAAGTAGCTGTACTTCAAAACTGACTATTATTTTTTTTTACGAAAAATTTAATTGTCATTTAGTAAGTCAAACCAAATTTGAAAAAATAGATCAAGTATAATATCAAAACTTTTAACCTGTCTTACATTTACATTACAACTCTTTTTCCAATTCTTTAAGATACTTGAAAATAGTGTCACATAAATTGAATAAAAATTTTCTTGGATATTATCCATCGTCTAGTAAATATAAAACGTAAAACGACGTTTCGGAGATGGGACTCTATCTCCGTCTTCAGGTTCCTACACAGTTGGGCCCACTAGATAGAGCTAATCCCTATCTCCGGA